CAACCAACAATTCTTCCAACCGTAACACAAGAATAAATGGGACTAACAGCGACAGCTAAGGCCTATCAAATTTTCGCGCACGTTGCATTCGCCGGAAATAAGTGAGTTCATCTCTAAAATGCCCTTTAGGTTACTGGATCTTTGCAAATGTTAATAGCTGCGATTCACCAAACCCCTTCGCTAATTGTTCTCGAACCAACACAGTGTGGCCACCACACTCTCACTAAAACAAGCATGTAGTGTATAACAGTGTTTTCACAAAATCATTAGATGTCTCACTGCCAAGCTAGCAATTTCTTTGCGTACGCATGAGCTATTTTTCTGCATTAGAAATTTTGTACAGATGCGTGTGGTGTAGAAGTAAGCTAGAATAAGCTGATGACCTCGTTCCACGTATTCTAAGCTAACCGTCTCGTAACCCCTTGCCCCATATGTGCTCACACGAGACATAGGTATGGTAAGAACAGAAGCACAAACCTCACAGAGTTTCCAACTTCTCAGTAAAAGACACTTGCTCGTTAGCACTTCAGGATCACATGTAAGGAGATTATAATCAGGGCATGATTCTATCTGCACATTTTAATCTTTCCTTGCCGCGAAAACCACAGCCAATGCTGGGGCTGACAGCAGCCGCTTATGAACACTTACTTAAATTTCGGCGCCTAAAGGCGTGGTTAAATTGAGCTTAAACAGATTTTGGTGGATAAGGGATGGACTGGTTTAAGGTAGCTCGATAAGAACCTTAGAGATCCCGCCAGAAGCTTCGTCGGTGTCCACACAATGCCGGAAATAAAGAAAGTGTGCGAAAATGGCGCTGCTTATGCTCCTAATTTTGCCTTTTCCCAACCATGTCGCGATGGGTTCTCGTATTCTCTTGGATAAACGCCGACTCGTGCGCCAAATATAACCTGCTCAATAGGAGCAAGTGAAGGGGTAGACGCACATTCATGTGGTCTGAATTGTAAACCTTTCCTTACCTTTTCCACGCAAAATGGAGTTGGAAGACAATAATGCCCAAGGCCTTGCTGCTGCAAAGATTCGTGTGACCGCTCGATCGAGGCCTCTTCTTAGGAGTTCACTCGCAGCATTCCCGTGAAGAGGAACCTGGAGGAACAGATATTTCCTTTCTGCAGTCAATGGAGTGGGTTCATCCGGTCGCTCAGTAATATTTGTTGCAATAAACCACTCAGGATGCACGTTCTCCTGAAGCAAGTCCTGGATCGTCCTAAGCTCATTCTCAATGCTGTCTGCCGGGCAAATATTTCTAGCTCTTTTCGCCAAACACTGGACTAGATTTTATTTTTGTTGTAGAGGCAGGAAACTGTCGACGTTCGTGTATTTTCCAGACAAGGTTTTCTACCGATAGACGCTTCAGGTTAGGAAAACCAGTCTTATGAGCGCAGAAGAGCCTCGTTCAGAATCCACGCCTACCTTTGCTCAAAAGTCAATTAACTACGATGCACCTCTCCATGCACTCCAACTCTCACCACTATCCGACACGGTAAAACTGACTACTAAATTAATATGCATTCTGCGTCGATTTTCGATGCCCTGCAACTTCACATATACCATGTAGAAGAACTTAACAAAGATATTATCTATTGTACTCATTTGGAATCAGATCACATCTACTCCAAATTTTATAAAAGAACAGACGGTAGTTTTAGGTTTTAAAGGAGCTTCTAATTATGACAGTATCATTTAACGTCCAATGTCCATTTCAATAGAATAATATCTGTGGGTTTTATAATGCTCTTACCTAAGTATTCCGCATAGCTCCATTCGCTAAGTTTTGGCGACATAAAGGAAGGAATTGTTACATTTGCGCCAAAGGTTAGCAGATTGTAGACGGAAAACACAACGACAGATCGACATCAAAATCTATCGGGTATAAAAGAGCGATACAAAATGTTAAATGTCACCGTTATTCCGAGTGCAGAATTAGAAGAAGATATTATTTGCTATGGCATGGGCGCCAAAATAACATATATATTCGATAGTTTTGCAATATATATTTAAATTCACAACGCACCGAAAATCAAAGGAATAACTGCATCCCAATTCATTAGTCATTTATTACAGAATGGAGTAATCGCAGATGGCCAAAAAGAAGTGCATTTATAAGTCAACATCTTGGCATGTCTAGAAGGTCTCAAGAGTAGGCCACAAGGTAAATCAATATTACAACCCGATTTATGTAATCCTCCCTTATGGAGAACCCATCACCGAATTTTGTTTAACATTTCGTGAGATCGGACACTGACTGTATGCACCAATTCTGCGAACTCTTTGCAATTGGCTAGACCTTTTAGCTTTGTACCATACTCGCAAACCCTCGAGACTGAGTCAGATAGGTCCAGATGAGACCTAAACTGCACTATCATTAGTTGGGGTCCGAATAGGTCACTAGTGATGCTACTGTCGCGCTCCGATTTATAGAGACGGAAGTTACACATTTATGTGTCTAGTTGTCTTGCAGTCTTTATGGCTAGATATCTGCTATTGAAAATAATTAATTTACGAAATCTGTCCTAGCTGCCCCTTCCGATGTATTATTCAGCTGCGTTTAAACAATGACAATGGAACATTGACATGAAGAGAACAATTTCCAAAAATCAGTATGTCTTAACGCAATAGGCAATTGTCGAATGTCCCACATTAACAACTTAGCCCATCGAGGATTCAAAAGCCATATAAAGGAAAATTTTTCCCAGACTTAAGTAGATGAAGAACCGGATTCTCAGTTCGGAGTCATCAATGTACTCCTTCGGTTGGATGCGATTTCTCACATGGATGGTCTTCAACTGCGAAATTTTAAAACAGTCATAAGATATAGCACACTCGTGGACCTTTCACGGACGAACTGTCTTCCCATTGTAATTTCGTATTGAACTTCTGTCTAGTTCTGCTGACTGGCTTAAAAATGCAAACCCACCTTCCACCTCCCAGTTATGTCGTACTGTGAGTTCTACCAGATTTAATCATGCAAGAAAATTAGCAAATGAACTCTGTTTCAGTTTAGTGATCGACTTCGCTGGGGTGCGTTTGCGCAATTTCCACCTTACTTATCGGCCGGTCACAAGATGCTTTTTCAAGCAGTACTGATATTTTGGCTTTGCTGGCCTGCTGGCATAGAACCTGTTTACGTAACCTGATCGCGAATGCCCAAGTAGATTTGGAGAGCTTGACCGAAACTTGGTAATCGCTAAAAACGGCTTCCCAGACATCTACACAGTGGTCTGTGTCTACCATGTGCGCAAGGATAGAGCAGTCAAAGGTTTTTCATTTGACCCTTTTCTTAACATGCTGTGAAGATATTCTCGCATTTTTTTGGACAAACGCCGACACGTGGGACCAGAATATTCTGCCCCACAAGAGCAGGTGAAGGAGCAAATATACATGGATGTGGTCTGGTCCTGAAAGTTGTCGTTGCCCTCTCCGTGTAGGATGGGACTTGTTGAGAAGAGTATAGGGTCGTCAGCTGTTAAGGAGTTGCGTGGAACAACTTGAGGTAGGCGTCTGAATAAAAGTTTACTTGGTGAGTCCCCATGAAAGTGCACCCTGCTGAAAAAGCCTTCTTCTTTCCTACCTTCAGCATCAAGGGCTTTCGAGGTCTTTCGGCCATGTTCATAACAATGAATCGACCGAGCTGCCACTCCTGGCGAAAATGACTTCCAATAATCTTATGCTCTTTCTCAACCCTATCATCTGAGCAGATTATTTTGTTTAGGTTGGAGAAGGAAAGAATACTCACTCTAACTACTCGGGATCCGTCTCGATCATTTTCTGATGTGACTACTGCACTGGCATCTACTTCGGTGACATTGTAGGACAGTTCATCCTCCAGAGTGGCGCTATCGTTTAGCCCTCTCGACTGTTAAATTCAAAAGACTTATATGTAGGAGGGCATTTTGAGCAAGCCAAGACAGAATTAGTTGTTGAAGCACTTACCCATATTCGTATCGAAACTGATGCTGATGAGATAGTGATAGAGCAAAGGACTAGTTCCCGTTGACTTATGAAGTCCTTATTCATAAGTAGACATATCTGAACTTGTGGCGCAGCCCGCAGAGTGAAGTTTAAAAATATTTGCTCATTTCCGTTATACGTGCCAACATAATTTGCTGAGGACATGATCTCCACTTAGGCTGCGCAGACGATGTCGGCAGTCTAGACTTAATGAATTGGGATTCAGTCACTGAAAAACCCTCTGAAAGACTCCAACTGGCACGAGTAACACTGGAAGGAATATAAACCAATGCAGAATTGCAGTAGTAAAAGGACTTGATAATGTACAGAAGATGTGCTAACTTATGAAATGTCAACCAAAATTTTGAAATGAGTTCTCGTTTCGAAAAGATAAATTTAGTAGTGTTGCAAAACTAATCATGATGCAGCATAAATCTATAATTATCCAGTTACCTCAGGGTGTCGGCTTTCGAAAGAACTTATTTTCGGCTGCATGCAAGATCTATACTCTGCAAAAATGACTACTTCTGTAGCATGCAATTTTCTCATTGATTTTCGATGCCCTTGAAAATTCAATTATATTTCAAGAAAAACATGCATTACAATATTCATTCTTTTACTTATTCGGTAGAAAATCACGTCTTCTTCTCATTTAATACTCAAAAAGAGTATAATTCGGTTTTAAAAAAACTTTTCTAATTCCCGGCTAATTTTGAACCCGACCTGCTGTTACACTTGCATTCAGGGTTTCAAAACTACAAGCTGTATATTTTCCGTGTACGCAAAACCATGCATTTCACTACGGTGTTAAGAGGAGACCATATGAGGTTCATAAAATTAAGCAATGGATTTGAGCAATATTGCTAACTTTGCAAGCCACGTTAGTAAATGCAGATACATGACTTTTAATGAACGGCCACTTAACGGTATTAAAAAATCTCACAATTAGAAACTTTTTAACACCGAATTATACTCTTTTTGAGAAGGAAATGGGAAGAAGACGTGATTTTCTTCCTGGACGTTCTCATGTTTAGAGAGGATGATGGTTCAATAAGACGCTCCGTCTTCTAAAAGACTACGTGGAAAGGGCAATACCTACATTTTAAAAGCTTTGCGCAAATACAAAGGAAACGTAATCAAGTACATACTCTTTTTCAAAGAGCGAGAAATATTTGCTTTAGGGAGTCCATAGATACAGAAACTGCCCGTATCAAAGAAGCCTTACTTAATCGTGGTTATCCTGCACGCTTCATTCAGAAGTACAGCAACCATTTACGGCCAAAGTTGACGGAACAGTCCGTTCCGAAGAAGCCCGTTATAATATGTCTACCTTTTAAGGGCGACAACGTCTCAAACACAATCAAGCGACGCTTGCGCTGCACTATAGAAAGAACGTACAACGCAGCAGAGCTTATCTTCATCAGTTCCACAAAAAGCCTTCCAATTATCCGGGCAAAGGATGCCTTGCCAATGCACGCCACCCCCAATTGTGTGTATGAATTCACATGCACTTGCGGATGCAAGTACATTGGGCGAACGCAAAGGCAATTGGCAACCAGGGCCGCAGAGCATTTGCCGACTTGGCTTTTCAAACAGGAAAATAGAACTCCCCGTTCGTCTATAACGAAACACCTGTTAGATAGCGGTCATGTTGTCGACCCTAAAGCATCCTTTCGAGTACTTGTCCGAGCACGTACAACTCGAACCTTGCCTTATTTGGAAGCAGCCTACATATGGAGGGAGAAACCAGACCTGTGCAAGCAGTTAGATCACGTGATCAATCTGCAATTGCCCTGATAATCTCACGCCTCTATTTTCCCCTGACTGTGATTTGTTGTTAACATTTCGTCTCCCTTTATCCTTTTTGATGCTTATGTGGACGTCTTATCTGATTATTGATTATTTTGAACTTTGACCTTGCTCCTATGCACTGCCATTCTGTACAAATTCATACTGCTGTGCGCTTTCATTCGTTACCTATGCTATGCAGAGACGGGTTGCAGTTGAAAAGCCGTCACGAAATTTATTGGCCCCAATAAATTCTGCTGTACATGCTTGTAGGTCGATATCTTCATCAGGATGTACCACGGTTGTTGAAAACCTCACCTTACATCCAGATTCTAGATCAAAAACCGTCATTTTCTCGACCAAAATATATTCGCAGGTTATTTTACAGGAGAAGGAGAAAAACAGGGTATTTTGTCAGCCAGACAATATTCTACCCTGTTTTATCTTGCTGACTAGATCTACGTGAATTCGCAATCCGTACGCTGAGCATTTGCCTGAAAATTAATATCTTTTTTAGGAAGCAGCGTGTCCTCCAAAACACTGTTTTCCAAAAAATTAACGTGACCCCAAGAGTGCCGTTCATATACGGCATGAGTACTCCTATGTTTCCTTGAGCTCGGCCTCTAGAGGTGAGGAAAGCGTAGACGCACCTCACTTGCTTCAAACGAATTGTAAATCGATTTCTTATTGCTTTCTGTTTTGTTCGAAGTGGCAGACGTGAAATAGCAGTAGCCTTTTGCGTGAATTACAACGAAGTTCGGAAACTACCCTTGACCCAATACAGTGAGGCCTCCGCGCCCTCACTAAAACAAGCATGTAGTGTATAACATTATACTCACAAAATCTTTCGATCTTTCACTGTCAAGCTAGAAGTTTCTCTCCGTAAGTTTGAGCTATTTTTCTGCATTAGAATTTTCGTACAGATGCCTTTGATGTAAAAACACACTAGAATAAGCTAGTGACCTCGTCCCACGTGTTCCAAGCTAACTGTCTCCTAACCCCTTGACCCATATGTGCTAACACGAGACATATGTATGGTAAGAACAGAAGCACAAACCTCACAGATTTTCCAACTTCTCAGTAAATGACACTTGCTCGTTCGCACTTCAGGATCACATGTAAGGAGATTATAATCAGTGCATGACTCTATCTGAACCTCTTCATTTCTCCTTGCAGTGAAAACCACACCTTATGCTGGGGGGTACAACAGCCGTAATTGAAAACGGCCGAAAAGAAGTGCATATATAAGTCAACACCTTGGCATGTCTAGAATGTCTCAGGAGTATGCCACAAGGTGATCAATATTACAACCCGATTTATGCGATCCTCCCTTATGGAGGACAAATCTCAGAATTTTGGTTAACATTACATGAGATCGGGCACCGACTGTAGGCAGCCATTCTGCTAACTCTTTGCAAATGGCTAGATCTGTTAGCTTTGTGCCGTACTCGCAAACACTCGAGACTGAGTCAGATAGGACCAGCTGGGACCTAGCATGCACTATCGTTAGTTTGGGTCCGAACATGTCACTAGCGATGCTACTGTCACGCTCTGATTTATAGAGACCAAAGTTACACACTAATATGTCTAGTTTGCCTGCGGTCTTTATGGCCAGATATCTGCTGCTGAAAATAATAAGTTTTCACAAGCTGTTCCAAGCGACTTCCTTCCGATGGATTATTTCGCTCCGTTGAAACAATGGCAATGCGACATTTAAATGAAAAGCAATATTTCTCGAAAATCAGTGTACCTTAGGGCAATAGGCAATTATCGAATCCCCCACTTTAACAACTAAGCCCATCGAGGATTCAAACGTCACCTAAGGAGCAATTTTTCTCAGACCTATGTAAATGAAGAGACAGAGTCTCTGTTCGGAAACGTCAGTGTATTCCTTGGTTTGGATGCGACGTGTCACGTGGATGGTCTTCAACTACGAACTTTTAAAACTGTCATAAGATAAAGCACACTCGTGGAACTTTCACGGACGAACTGCTTTCCCATTGTACTCTTGTTAGGGACGTCGGTCTAGTTCTGCTGAGTGGCCTCCAAATGCAAACCCACCTTCCACTTCCCAATGATGTCGTACTGTGAGTTTTACAAGATTTACATACATAAAAGTTCAGTTGGTGCGTCCCCATGAAATGGCCCCTTCTGAAAAAGCCTTATTCTCTCCTGCCGTCTGCATCGGGGCTTTAGTGGTCTTTCGGCCATGTTTTTGACAATGAATCGACAAGGGCGTCCCTTCGGACGAAAATGACTTCCAATTATCTTAATGTCTTACGCAATGTTATCAACCAAGCAGATTTTTTCCACTCCTACTGTCAAACTACGATTCAAATTTCGTTTCACGTTTTGCTACACGGAACCCTCAAATGGGGTGCATTGCCGGACCACGTCATCTTGTGATATGCGACAGGTAATCAAAACGAATATGCTGTTCTTTGTAGATTTAAATACAGCAGACGTGTTTGCTTTGTGGGCAGGTGGCAAATTGTACAGAATATGGGAATCCTCTTATCATATTCTATATTTCCTGTTCAAGGCAAACAGTCTTCCCAGCATTGCGTAAACCTATGTGGATAACACGGAACAAGAATGTAAATCTTCTTTCTGAAATAATTGAAGGAGCCAGAACATTCACCCACAGCAGAATGCAGTTTACTTCAAATTAAAATTCTAAGCTTACTACTGACAACCGTAAAGGCTAGTGAATATCCTTTCGTACATTTATGTCACCATTAGTAATACGTTTTTTGTTAGTAGTCCCGATTCAGGCGTTTCACTGCATTTCGTTCGAGAGGAAAGACAAGGGTCAAATTTCGAATAAATGTTTATTTATTGGAGTCTGATGGACAGATGACAAGATTATTTTGTTTAGGTTGGAGAAGGAAAACGCACTCACTCCGACTACTCGTGAGCCGTCTCGAGTATGCTCTGATGTGACTACTGCACTGGCATCTACTTCGGTGACATTGTAGGACAGTTCATCCTCCAGACTGACGCTATCATTTAGTCCTCTCGACTGTTAAAGTAAGAAAACGCATATGTAGGAGGGCTTTTTGAGCAAGCGAAGACAGAATTAATTGCTGAAGCACTCACCCATAGACGTATCGAAACTGATGCTGTTGAAATACTAATAGAGCAGAGAAATAGTTCCCTTTGGCTTATGAAGTTTTTATTCATAAGTAGACATCTCTGAACTTGTGGCGGAGCCCGCAGAATAAAGTTAAAAAATGTTTGCGGATTCCCGTTATACGTGGCAACATAATTTATTGAGGACGTATTTTTCAAAACAATCTCAACATAATAAAGTAGGTTCTTACTGACTCCTGGAAAATGGCACATATTGAGTTTTACTGAAAGACATGGACACTTGTTAGTTAAGAAATGTAAATAATGCTTAAATCTTTGTTAGATTAAAAGGTACATGTAAATATGAATGCCTATGGGTCTGGATCATTCATCCTTGCTCCTCTGGTGAAATATATACTTACCGTTATTATCTGATGTACCTATGATGCATGTAAATGCACAAGCGACAAGGAGTAAAACGGTTGTTTTCATGATCATCGTCATTTTAATTTGCTGAATTTCTCACTGCACTGTGTGCATATGAGTTGCTGAGAAATAAATATGCTAGAACTAGAAATCTGACTGTCACGGTCTTCCTGAAGGGGCGAGCTTATTGGTTAACCGACCGACAAAGCTACCAATACTAAGACCTCTGAACGACGAGAGGAGAGATGATGTGCAGCCTTTTAGTTCTCTTTGGGGTTTTCTGAATTTTGCGTTATTCCTTCTCAGACTGAGGAAACAACATTAAATTGGCAGCAGTCTAAACTAAGTGAACAGCGGCTCAATCGCCGATAACTCTCTGAAAGTCTCCAACTAGCATATTTTTGTTGCAATATGCGTAATTAAAGGATTCAGTATGTAGCCGAGCCTCGAAACAGTCAGTCGCACCTAGTATCCAATGCTCTCATAAATAAAGTTCCCTCAGTACGAACCAAAGGAGTTGTCATTAAATTCATTGGAAGTGCCGATCCTACGCGCCGTCATATCAGTCGATCTTTGTGTGCTATGTCGCATTTTTCTTCAAGTAGTCGATACGGTTCAGTTTCCTATGAACCTGTGCAGCCTATCCATGTAGGGTGTAGCGAGGTGGTATAGACACAAGTTTCTGCTACGAGCCAACCGTACGTAACATATTTATCTAAGCTTTCACCGGTAATACTTGAAGGACTATTACTTGGACTTCATCGATAGGCGAAATTTTAAAAAAAATATTTCCCTGATAATATCTAGGCATATACCTCCGAAAACAATTAGGCGTTCAACAACGCGCTAATTTGGGAATACATTCTGTCGTCTTCAATGGCCAATTATACAAAGCAAAATGGATGTGCTTTCAAGGAACTTTGATTGATATTCTAGCAAGCAAGTAATATATGCCATCCTGTTTCTGTATTTTTGCGCGAAATTTGTGTTATTTATCCCCTTCTCCATCAAACTGGTAAATGTGCTTTAAATGATGATTTCCTACGCCTGCGTGATTTCAACAAAAACAACAACTCTTACCACTTCCTGAAAATCGCCACTTCACAGGTGTCTGAATATTAGTGGTTCGGACATGTCCCAATCTGCTCAACGATGGGAAATCCTCAGCTCTCAAGACGCCTCTAGGTATGCACAGACTCACTTTCTGTACATGTGTTGCGACAATAACGTGTGTGGCCCAAATATGTTTCATACAAGCCTGCGGTAAAACCACGCAGTTGCTGGAATGAGTAATAGTTCCACAGGAAAGACGAGTGATTTGAGCGCTTCTTCAAGACCGTCACACAAGGCTTCGCGGAGCCGTCGGATGACTGAGTATTAGAGGACCAGATGTTAGGGGTTCATGGACTAAAGCAGTGTAAAGCTGCACCAGCAGACGGTGATTGAGGGGACGCGTAAACAGAAATCGATACGCGGTGCAGCATTGAAGAAATAATTCCGAAAATTGTCTAGCCTTATGTCGCCAAAACGAAAAAATGGCATGCAGCTTGTCCTCAAGGGGGCTGTCGAAGGGACAGACGCTAATGTTACGGCATGAAGCCTCATTTAACGCGACAGATTTCAAACCTGTCTGCATGCTCGCAACGGTGGAATCAATCCTCTATCAGACAATAGTAGTAGCGGCGACGAAATCCAGGCTTCAGTACCCCTTGGATACTTTCCAGTAATTATTTGACGAGTCAGTGTACGTAGAGGTGCGAACGACGAGTCAGGGGTGTTCAAATCATTAGCCCCACGACAACAAAAATAATGTTCACAGGACAGGAATGTTAACGCCATTTTAGATGAATTTTTAGACTTATTTTCATGTTAAACATGGGATATTTGTCTGTCAAAATATCTTGGTATTCAATTGACATTTATTTCCGACGATTTGCACCTTCGTTTCCATCAACAATATATATATATATATATATATATATACATAAAGTACAGAATTATAGTATCAGTGAGGGCGAGGAATACTGGAGTATTTATTCCTGTCCAGTAAGCGTTTGACCTTCACTTTTTTGGTTAGGATCTCACTCCATCCCATTCTATCTGCCCGCCAGCTTTCTAATGGCGATAACGAACGTTGCGTCATAGGAAATATACCATGAGTTCGAGTGAGGTCCTAACTACAACAGTGAGGGTCAAAAACCTACTTGACATGTTTACATGCCTCTCTTTGCATGGCCTGTGACGAACTGATGATCGGTAACGACCATGAAGCAGTAGTCTGCCTCTGTAACATCAAAAGATACCATGACTTCATTTGGATGGAGGCTTACCCCTTTGAGTTTATCCAGAAATTGTGCTGACAAAATGACCGTGGTGTCTGACTCAGCCGTCATCCATTTAGATGCTGTCATGGTATCTTTTAATGTTACCTCCCCTTTTACTTCTATTCCCCAGGACCTGGAGATCGAGACAATTAATCTGCATCTGCAAAGCAAATACAATGAAGCCGAGAATCGTCTTGGACACACCCAAGTCCATCAGCTCCTGAAGTCCTGCCTCAGAACGTACTTCAAGTTTGACGGGAAAATCTACAAACAAGTAACGGACACACCAATGGGTTCGCCGATTTCGCAGTTCATCACCGAGGCGGTCCTGCAACGGTTAGAATTGCTGATCTTCCAACATCTTCGTCGTTATCGAACGCGATCAACTGCTGACATTCAAGGAACATTTGAATCGGTCTTCCCGGACATAAAATTTACGATGGGAGAGGATGAGAACAATCAGCTGACCTTCCTGGAGGTCCTCGTATGCCGAAAACATTGTGGTGGATTAAATACCAAAGTGTTCAGGAAGACGACAAATACGATGCAAGTACTGAACTTCAACAGCAACCACCCAATCAGCCACAAACACAGTTGTGTAAGGACGCGCTATCGGCGTGTCGAAACGTACTGCAGTGATTCGGAAGACAAGACTGCCTAACTACAATACCTGCCACGGGTTTGCAAAGCCAATGGCTAGCCGCGCAACTTCGTTAACCGGTGCATACGCAAAAGGGACGAAAGGTCTAACCGTACGAACACCAAATTTTGGCGAGCGCTTCCGTATGTCAAGAACGTTTCGGAAACTGTCAGCCGCCTTCTCGCACCACTTGGGGTTGGAGTTGCACACAGACCGGAGGCAACCACCAGGCGTCAGGTAATGAAACCGCAAGACCCACTGCCACGGCAAGAAACGCCTGGAGTCGTTTATCGGATCTGGTGCAGTTGAGGACAAAGCAACTACGTCGGAGAAACCGGCAGACAGCTCCGAACGAGAATGGCCAAACACGCTGCAACGGTGCGGGGAAATGAAGCCAGCTCTCAAGTTATGCCTAACTCGACAAGATCCGGCCACACATTCACACATTCGACGAGGCCGAAATTCTCGTAAGAGGTGACAAGCGCGTGAACCGGGGTCTGCTTAGATCATGCTTTACTGGCCCCTAGTCCGTTAACAAGTGCAATGATCTTCCCATTCAATACTCGGTGCTGAGACTTCGCGGGGAGTGCAGAAGTGAACACTCTTCCCAACACTCGGGTTCAGCGCGTCAGATGGTCGAGCAATCACCACACCGACATCCAAGGCACGTGATGGGATTTCAGCAATTATCGACTTGAATGTCGGCCATCAAGCAATGGTCACACCAAGTGCAACGATCCCGGATGAAAGGGGGAGCCGTGAATGTTCGTAGGTATGCGCTAGCATGGCTACTGCATCCTATAAATACCGCAGCCCCTTGTGCAACAACCACCCGTTTCTGCTTGTTTGTCTCTGATGATGGATTCGAATAGGAATCCGAAACGTCAGGCTAATAAAGCTCTTGTCCCAGCCATTGTGTCTCCTTCTTCAAAACTGCTGCCTGGGACTCGTCTCTTCGCGTCGATTGGCGATGTATTTGGACGCGATGCGCTCCGATCGGCCGGCGATGGGGAGACTTCGTCCTTCGGGAGGCCTCCCTTATTCGCAGCTCCGGCTTCTGCATAGGTGTCTCGACAATAATGTGTTACCGAAATGTGTTTCATACAAGCCCCGGTTAACGCAAATTTAGCGAGAAGAGCAGTATTTCAGCATGGCAGAAGGATGATCCGAGTGCTCCTCCAAGATTGCCACGTGAGACTTTGCGAGTACCCTCAAAGGATTGACCAAGAAAAGACCGGATGCTGTGAGTTCATAGGGGGAGATCAGTACAAATCTGCTCCTGCATAGAGTGGCTGAGCAAACCCGATAACAGAGAGTGATACGCGACGCAGCACTGGAGAACGAATTCCAAAAGCTGCCCAATCCAACGTCGCCTAGAAACAACAAAGTAGTGCACAAACTGCCGTCAAGGAAGCTGACGAACGATGAGTTGCAGGTTTTACGGCAAGAAGCTTCATTCAACACAACTGACGGCAAACCTGTTAACATGATTGCAGCAGTAGAATCAGTCCTTATTCAGGCGGAGGCAACGGAGGAGATTAAGAGCCTCATCCAACACCAAGTTTCGTCTCTCCTAATGGCCCACTGTCTGCGAGAAGTGCTTTCTAAGGTCGAAAGTGATGCGCTTACAGAATCTAAAGCCGACAAAGACGTGGTCATCGTGCCAGCGAATAAGTGGCGCTCCACAGTTGTACTGCCCTTGACCTGCTGGTAGTACTTCTCATCAAATTGGCAGTAGTTCTTAAGACAGAGACCAAACATATCTGAAAATTGTTGTGTTGAAATGCCAGTTGGAGTTTCCTCTAGGCGTCGGGCTACGCTCTCAATCGCCGAGTTATGTAGTAATGAGGAAAATAAAGCAACCACATCAGACGATAGAATGCATTCATCAGGGCTTTTATTAAGGCCTTAGATCATCTGAAGGAAAGCATGCGATTTGTTGATGCTGTACTGCCATCCAAACGTGAGGTGCATTAGGTGCTCATAAAGCCGCTTGGCGAGGTTATAAGTAGGCGATCCAATAAGCGGCCCAAGGATCCTCAACGTTGTATCTGCTTTGCGTACCTTCGGAAGAGCATAAACGTGCGATACGGGTGTCATTGAGAGTCAGAAATTTGGAGTCCGCGGGGCTTATGAGCCTTTTCCGAGTGAACTCGTCCACTTCCTTCTTTATAGATTCTCCCTACTTTTACGTCGTATCCTCACCAATTGGGATGTAGGCCTCCCTGTCATCAAAGGCTTGGTTGGCCTTATTGACATAGTCGGTCTTGTCCATAATGACGGTAGAACCATCTTCGTCAGCCGATACAACAACGATACTGTCGCCTGACCTCAGGCATCGTAATCCCTTCTCTTCTTCCATCGACAACATTTGCTGAGGAGGAGGCCGGTAGCAGTGTTACCTATGTTCACAGGCATGTCTTCAGTGATTGATGAGGTTAGCAGGAAGGATTCCAAGTTTGCTAGGAAGTTTGTAGGTGAAGCATCTACATGACTGAACCGTATTCCATTAGATAATTGGCTTGTTTCGGCGGGTGTGAGAATCCTTTTTGAAAGACTGACAACTTGCCTTGTTTAATGTCCGAGGAAATTAATGCGCGACCTTGGAATAAATCTTTTGCAACGGGCCTTTTCAGGCACGCCCCAAATTTATGATATGAATATTTGAGCTCAAATCCATCAGCTACTGCGGAATAACCACTTAATATTCACAAACCGCCAACAGGCAGCCAGTAGTATAGTACTGTGCAATGATTTACCGTACTAACAACAAAGGTATTAGCTAAAAGCCCAGACACGCGTGTGTTGCCGATCTTATGCCGCTGCCTGACGCAGCTGATAGGGGTTCGGCTCGTCAGTGGGTACCCCAGCTTTCTCCGTGTGTTTTCTGATATATGAACTCCAGTTTCAACTTGCCTTGTTTAATTTCCGAGGAAATTAATACGCAAACTTGGAGTAAATCTTTCGAATCTTTCGATTAACAACTCTCGTAGACATTTTACTGTCATCGGTAGAACGGAGGAGAGCTTGGAGCTTCTCTTAAAGATCGATCCGATTCCTCATACGAGTATGATTGGTGGTAGCATTTATTTGCCGCAGTGCATTTTTGCAAAAGGTCTTCAGGCAGAGCCGAAACACACCGGCTCGTAAGATCAGAGAATACCGCCTCAAATCGTCCAAGACGATGATAGATGTCAGATATAAGGGTACACAAAACACGAAATTCGTATTTGCGAGAGAGTAACTTCCAAGCCTCATTGGACATTGTGGTTTCACATCAAAGTGCCCTCGGTGGGATGCCATGATCGCGACAGCGGTAAAGGAAACTTAACTGCTCGAAGGTTGTCGCCTCTCTCTGCGCAAACCTCTCCGAACGTCTGGTAAGAATAAGCATTTGACGCCCAAGTATATGTTGAATAACTGAAGTAGTATGCCTTTCGAGATGATATGATGAAATGAGGAAGTCCGTCGGTAATATTAGGCAATTCAAAACGAAAACTTTTTATAAAGTCGGAAAATTCTGAAAAAGTCAGTAATGGCCGTACGTCAGTAAACTTCACACTTATGTGTACAGAAAGCCTGTCCAGGTTAAAGGCATATAAGTACGAGAGCTCAAGTAGCATAACCTCCAATGGGTTGACATCTAAATATCCTCTAGACGGTAAGGTAAATCGAGGTATTCAGGTTTGTTAACGGCCCGCATTCTAGGGTGGTTTCCGGAAGATACGTAGCATTCTTTACGATTTGAATTGATTGAAATGCGGTTCAAAAAGGCAAACGGAATTTTGCTTAATTTTACCGAAATGGGCCTTATAGGAACAAAAGTTTCCATAAGGGCACATGCTGTGTTTCTAATCAGCTTTCGGGTATAGCCGGATAATTCGCGATTTTTAGAGTTTTTATCCGATTTCTTATTAAAAGGTCTATATCCTATGTCTGTTTAACCGCCCTGAAAGCATTTAATGAAGTGATGAGGATTCAGTCGCCCGTTTTCATGAAGAAGGTCGTTTGGGCCACATTTGAGGATTTACCCATACAGGAAACCATATCGTCGAATAAAATTAACGCCCACAATAAACTCCGCAAAGAATATGCCTTTTGTCAATTAAAAGAACATTCCAAGTAGCCTTTTAAGGAGCGCTTTGATATTGCATTCCGTTACCAGATTCTGCATACTTTGCATCTTACACGATAGAGCCAAGAAAAAATTTGGCACTTTTGATTGTTTCTTACACGTTGCTAAAAGTACTGATAACTGTAAAAACGTATACGTAAGAACATGCCTTTCTATTTACTGCGTTCATGTTTGCTATCTTTGCTCACTTCCGTACTCCGTTCTATGATGATTAACTGTCGGCATAGTGACCATATGAATACTGATATGCTGCTGAAGCACTTGTCGGTTTGTAGAAATTAAACCGGAGAGCCAATTTTCTTCTTCTAATAA